GGAATGATGACACGACCCTACTGAAAAAAGAAAAATTATATGGGTAGGGTTGGAATGATGGCACAACCCTACGCAAATAAGATTTGAGGAGTCACCGGAAAGACGAATGGAACTATGCAAATCAAATCTGAGGAGTCACTGAAAAGACACATGATGCTATGCAACTCAGATATGAGAAAATAGTTCGGAAAAATCCACGATACTACACAAATTAAATATGGAAAGTAGTCCGGAGATATGCACGGTGCTATGCAAATTAGATATGAAAAAAAGGTAGTCACCGAAAGGATGGCACGGTGCTACAAAATTATAATATGAAAAGTAGTCACTGGAATGATGGCATAGTGCTACACAAATTAAATATGAAAAAGTAGTCACCGGAAAGATGGCATGGTGCTACGAGTTACATATAAGAAAGTAGTCACCGGAATGATGGCACGGTGCTTACATAAATAAAATATGAGAAAATAGTCACCGGAAAGATACACGGTGACCAAACTCTTGCTAACATAATTGTTGGCCAAACGGGCGGCATATATGAGTAATAGCCGCCCGTCGGCAGCGGAAGCACTTTGATTGTTTACCAAGATCGTAGAGGCTCTGATACCATGTGAGAAATATATGAGAAGAATATTATTGAATTGTTGCTGCTTACATTATTACATTGAGACCCTATTTATAACCCTAGAATACAATCCTTTACCAAGTAGGATACTATTTAGTATTCCTATTTTTATTTCTATTCCTATTCCTGTTCTAATAGGATTGTATAAACTTATTCCTATTCTAATAGGATTGTATAAACCTATTCCTAGTCTAACAATAACTAAATAGTGAATACGGAAGAGGTATCAGTAATGGGCAAAATAAATATGAGCAAAAGGAAATTAGACCATAATGAAGAAGGGGAAAACACATATTTTAATTACCATTAAAAGTATAGACTTTAGCAGGAATAGCTATTCGACCTAATTTTTTTTACCCACTAATACCTATTTACAATAGTCACCATTAAATAATTACCTTGAGTTGAGGGTCTATCAGAAACAACTTCTCTACCTTTGAGGTTTGAGTAAGGTCTGCGTATATTCTAACCTTCCTAGACCCCATTTTGTGGGACTACGCTGGTCGCTAGGTATGTTGTTGTACCTTTAAATAATTAATCTTGTACTTGTTTGATCTCATGAAAACTCAGTCTCATATCACAACTCTTTCTTTCCTTTTTTCCCCACTTGAGTTATAAATTTTCTCATCCTTAATTTCTTTCTTTTCTATCTCAACGTCAATTTTGCTTGAAGTGTAGGAACTTCAAATGAAGAGAACCATTCTTTTGTTTCTTTGGGTGAGGTAGGTCACATCCCTCATTTCCGTAGATTCTCTTCAAATGAATCTTGTATGGAAGAACTTAACTCTTCAGTAGCCACATATTTTTCCTTTTTAATGTATTCATTCAAGGGTCTCAAACTATTTTGGAAACCTCTTTCAAATTGTGTCACATAAACAATGGAATATCACAAGCCTCCAGAAATAGTTTCCACAATATTTATCTTTAGTCTCTAAGTAGAATAAAATATTTTCCATCAATGTTGTGTCCAAATGCACACGCAAGTGTTCGTGGTCAAACGAGTAATATAGTGACTCTTAAGAGATGGATTATCAAATCCAAAAGACTTATGACCAGCAAATAAACAATTCCACTTGTAACTATAAGTACTCGCAAGTGTGTACATAGAGTTCGAATTGTGTACTAGACTAGTAATTGCTCAGCTCATCTGGGAACTCCTAATGAATTTGCCCTTCTTCACGCACATGCAGTGAACTTTTTTACCTGGATAACTGGTCTGCAATTTTATTCTTTGTACCTTTTCTATTCTTGGTCTCTGGATCAAATTCTTGCAGTAGTAAGATCCACCTAATAAGCCTCGGTTTCACATCCTTTTTGTTGAATAGGTACCTAATAGTTGCATGGACAGTGTAAACAATAACTTTGGTACCCACCAAATATGATCTGAACTTGTCAAATGCAAAGACCAAGGCAAGCATCTCTTTTTCAGTCACTGTGTAGTTATAACAGAAAGGAAAAGAAATAAATAAAGAGTAGAAATCATCTCCTTCCCTTTGCATGTTTCCCAGGAGGGATGGAGGGAGAATAATGCTAAATATTGCCTTTTCTTTGCATAGTCGTCTTAATGCTTGAGTAGAATCTTATTGGTTTTGAACATGCATGACCACCTCCAGGAGAGAAGTGATGTCTTAGGCTCTGAAGTGGCTTCCAAGAAGATTAGCAGATCGAGATGGAGGAAGCGCAAGAGACGACAAAGGAGAACTGTAAGAATAGCTGAAGATGGAAGAATGGAAAATGGCAGTCAGTGTGGCATGCGACAGGAATACCAGTCTTCGGAAGAAGCAAAACCAAATGTGTTGTTGAAACCGGCAGCAACGTAACATTGAGGCACCATTATGATGGTGTTTACTTTGGTGGACAAAGTACTATGCAATTTCAGTCATCATCTGAGCTTCATATATCAAATGTTTGGGTGAACCCTACAACTTTCATGAATCATATTAGTGGATGCTCACACCACCCAGCTCGCTAAACCAATGTCCACAACAAATTTTCGTTCAGGAGAGCAGAATTGAAAATTCAACTATTCTGCAATGATCTATACGGAAGGTTCCTAACAAGAAGCAACTATAACTCAAAACAGTTGAAGGCCCAGTACTGTTCTGTTTACTTTCTGATTAATTGCATTAGCCGGCAGTAACAAAATCACAGGAAACCTATTACCTTGACAATTGAAGGATACTGTGAAAGCGCAAGGTGGTTGAGAATACAGCGAGCCTTTGATTTTCAAATTAGTTAACATTTGTTTGTCAATCAAAAAAAGAAAAGTTATTTAGTTAGTTTAAGGAATAATCACTGTTTCTACATTAAGTTCCTTGAGAAAGCACCGCAAAACACCATTAAGGAGCATAGTTCAAGTTGTAACCAAGCAGGTATAAATTTTACTAACAATCCTTGTTTCAAAGAGTGCTACGATTTGTTTATTCTCACATTGTCATCTGGTTCTGCCAGTCTTTTTAATCGGCTGGTAAATTAACTGTCTATACACTTTTTCCTTTGGATGATGAAGAAAGTTAGTTTTCTTGTGTTCCTTTTTGTTCTTCAAATCTTTCTAGTTGAATATTTTTTGGATGGTGTAGAAGTATATAATACAGTACTTTCAGTGAAATGTCAAACCTTGCCTATTCCAATGTGCGCTGTTATCACTGCAGATCAGTATATTTAAGTGTATCTGGTTAGTTATTATCGAACTTATATTTAGGAGTAACGAGAGGCCCAATGAGAACATTACTATCGTATCAGTATGTGCATAATAATTGATTACCAAATATTCTTTGAGCTATATCATGACATGAAAAACCATATATATATATATTCTGTATAGACTGTAATAAAAGAAGATAGTGTGTTTCTATTTCAAGTTAAAGTCTATAGTGGACTCTGCACATAGAAAACTAAAGTGGTTGGAAAAGGGAGATACAACTATTTCCCCTAAAGAAAAAAAGAAAATAAAAACGTTAAAAGGAGATTTGTTTGCACCTGTGGGGTGATTTTTAATTTTTCGTTCCTACTACTCATTCAATAGAAATTGTGGACGAAAATATTCTTATTTATAAACTAACTAGTGAATTTGATTGCGCATCGCGCGATTATGAAATACCTCATTAAATTTATAAAATATATATATTTTGAAATATTGAGTGCTAAAAAATTATACTAAGAGTCTTAGTTCAATTTATTATTCCTACTCAAATTTTATGATTTTTACAATTTTAAATTATTTATGGGTCTTTGTTCTTCGGAAGATTTTTCCTTAAATAATGTGTTTAATAACCAAAATTATTTATATATAATAGTAATATAAGAAAAAAATATAATTTCAAATATGAAATAAAAAGTATATTCTTGAGTAGGGGTTTTATGAAACAATAAATTATGAATTTTACAATTTTGAATTATTTATGAGTCTTTGCTCTTGAGAAGATTTTTCCTTTAATAATGTGTTTATTAACCAAAAATATTTATATATAATAGTAATGTAAGAAAAATATAACTTCAAATATGAAATAAAAAGGATAATCTTGAGTAGGGGTCTCATGAAATAATAAATTATGAATTTATGTAAATAAAATGGAGGAATCTTTAAAGAAAATATAAATAATTCTTTATACAATAAAAGAAGAACATGTATTTCAATATTTAATATATATATTTCTTGTAAATCATTAATAGTATTGTTTGAGCCTTCATTAGTAGTTAATATATTTCCGACATTGTTGTATTGCATCTAAATAAAAATACAGACTTACGATAATTAAAAAATCATAAGAAGCCAAACTAAAACAGTTACATGAAGAGAATACATATCTTTCTTAGGGTCTTAATCATATAAAAAAAAAGATGATGAAAATAAAAATACAGATTCAATGCACAAAATTTTGATACTATAATATAATAATAATAATAATAATAATAATAATAATAATATAAGGAACAATAAAATAAAAGTAATATCTTTGAGTAGGAATATATCTTATGAAACAAAAAATGGTGAATTTATATAAGACAAAATGATAAATTATATTATTGAAAGTGGAAGTTTAATAGGTATGAGTATGACTTATGAGTCATGAAGGTGAAACTTTAAAAACAAATAAAGGAGAAAAACACAAATAAATAAAATAAAAGAATAAACACATGTGTGTATATATGTGTTTGAGTTTTTAAAAAAAAACACGACACAACTACTTTCATAGCTATAAAATCATCATCCATATTTTCATACCATGTCCAAATTAAGCCTTAACCTCATCTAACATCAAAATCATACCAACCACAAGCCATCTTTTGTTTTTGAGACATTACCAGTTACAAATTTAAACATCACGTTATCTTTATTTGAATTTTTAAAAATATTTACTATTGTAAAAAGAATTGTGGCCTTAGAGAGCGCCACATCACTGGAGTACATATATTGATGTAAATGTTCAGTTTTCTCTACACTTTTTCATTGACAATTTATTACAATAGTAAATATTTAAAAAATTCAAATAAAAAACATAATTAAATTTGATAAACATAGAGAGATGTCACATCACTTTAATATTACATTGTGTATACTTAACTTTAATATTATACTATACAAATTTAGATTTAAGGAGAGAGACATATTGAATAGAATTAGAACTTTAACTTCCTAAAACTAAAATAAAATCTTTAAAAAAATTAAATAACATTGATATTGATAAAATAATAATAATAAAAAACTCTTGGCTTATATCAAAAGCTTCATAGTAATATCCTTTTCAAAGGATGGTAACATATATACATACGTTAAAAATAAAATCAAGAATGGATACAATCAACTCCTGGCTTTCCTCTTCTGTTCTTCATAACAAAAAGCTTCATAGTAATTATCCTCTTTAAAATGATGCTATCAAGGATCTCTTCATATCAAAAAGCTTCATATTAATTATCCTGTTTAAAATGATGCTATCAAGGATGGATAAAATAAAAGGACGAAGATGAAAGAGAAGAACAAAAAACCACATGAAACCCCTAAAAAGGTATAAGAAGATATGAAAAAAATACTTACATGAAACCCCAAAGGAAAAGGTCTAAGAAGGTATGAATAAATAGGGGAATGAATTGTCTAATTAATTATAGGTGATTAAGGAATTAAAAAAAACTGATAGTACGTGGGTTGAAGCAATGATTTAATAGGAAAAAATGCGTGATAATGCACATTAATTGCTCCATTATGTATTTAGCTGTTACATATTTCCTTTTGGAAGGAAGAGTTAAATGTAGTAAAGGCTAATAATAAGGAAAGTGAATAATTATTTTAAAAGGTTATTGAACAGAAAATGAGAGAAAAAAAATCAAAATTTTAAGAAATAATAATACTGATCAATGAAGCATGCCACATCAGTGTGATTTTATTCAGCTTTATAAACATATATAGATTTTTTTAGGCACAAGTCTAGCGAATTTTTTCCCCGCTGGGTATAAGTTCCGTACGAATTAAGTTAAGTGGGATGTTGTATTCAAATGGATACACAAATACACGTGATCGTATAAGTAATATGATGTTAAGTCTAAATATTGTATCTGCGGAGACTTATTAATTAACTATTTACTAAATTAAATTAATGTTAATTATTGATTCAAAGTAGTAAGTCCCAAAGTTATTATTTTTAATTAAGGAATAAGGGTTTGAAAAATATCCCAACTTTGGTCGGATTTGCTGTTGCGATACTAAACTTTCATGAGGACCTATTACTTCCCTAGACTATTTAATACCGTATTTTTTACCCCCTGAACTATTTAATAGTGTATTTTAAAGGTATATATGTACCCACGTGGACACATTACTATTTATAATTTTGCATTATTTTTTATGTCCACGTGGGCAAATATATATGTTTAAAATATGGTATTAATTAGTCTAGGGAGGTAATAGGTCCTCATGAAAGTTTTGTATCGCAACAACAAATCCGATCAAAGTTGGGATATTTTTCAGACTCTTATCCCTTTAATTAACAAACTAAAAATAAAATGAAAATAACTAATGAACAATTAACCAAACGAAGAACATATTTTTACGTAAACAATGAATGAAAGATCTAGAGTTATGAATTTCCCAATCATGTTGAGCAATCACTTGAACTGACTTTGATTTTTTTTATCATGTTACTAATTGGAGGTTGATATTCTTATTGAGCATCATGCCAATAACTCTAAGACTACTCAACTATTTCTAATGTCTATATTCACATGATCGTCAGTCGATAATGAAGTGTCACCTATATTTCTTCTGTATCAACTAAAGCAAGGCCAACAAATATATTTCTATCCAGGTTAGTTAATCGATTTCCCCTCCCTATGAAGTTCAAGACCAAGTTGTACTTTCTCTTATTATGTTTGAAAAAAACTAATCTAAAACTAATTAGAAAAAATCAGAACGAAGTTGGCGCGCCGCGGGCCACGTAGTGCCTAGCGACGCAGTAGAGCATTCTTCTAGCTGCTCAATTTACTTTGTTGTCATCTTGAATTCCTTTGTTGGACCATTTTGATTGTCTTAACTATGTGGTATGGTTCGGCAACTACCCCGATTGAATTATTTGGGCCCACTCGTTATCAATGGGATCAGGGGTACTTCCAGCAAGAAATATATCGAAGAGTTAGTGCTGGGCTAGCAGAAAATCAACCACTTGACGTCCCTCTGACGCATCCGTTATGGTTATCTCATACCCCCCTTTTTCTTTTCGTATGATTTTGCTTACTATACCTGCTGCTGTAGCATTATAAATTGTATTGTTACTCTTGTTGCCGTCGGGATAAATCTGACCCCTTCCCCTGTTCCCGCCTACGTATATAGGATATTTTAAGAAGTGAACATCCTTCTTAGTAGCAGGGTCCGGAGAAAGAATAGGGAAGGTTATTTCACTATATTTTTTACCAGGGACAGGGCCTACCACAAGAATATTTGTTTTATTGGGGCGATAGCTCTGAAAAGACAAATTGCCAGAAAATTTGGACAGAATTTGATCAGAATGGTAAAATAACATATTTCACATTATGTTATTTTACATTTTTGAACATTTTTACCCTTTAAACTTTAATATATTTTAATTAAAAAATGAAAAAAGATTAGTTTATTTTAAAATAAAAAGGATATTATCGACTTTTTAAATTTCTAGCCAAATTTTGGCCAAATTTTCTGGCCATTTAGCATTACCCTTATTTTTTTCTTCTCGTTTTAATTTATTTTTGCTCCATATTTTTATTCAATTAGTCTTCGAACTCATTTATTGCACGTGTATTCCATATAAGTAGTACATATAGTATAAAACATATTAAAAATACAATGTAATGAATAATTGAATAAAGTGAAAAAAATTACAAATTCAAATAGATGAATAGTCTACTTATTCGAATGACTTCTTTGTTAAACAATAGATGATAAAAATATTATCTGAACCTTGAAAATTGAACAACTAAATATAGCTAAGCAGGTAAAAGTTATAATGAATTATATTTTGAGAAAACATGTTAAATATATATGATATTCTTTTATAAATGATG